ATATATATATATATATATATATATATATATATATATATATATATATATATGACATCCTTTATATGTATGAGTGTGATATGCGTGAATGTATCCTTGTATATATATGTATATGTATAAACCTCTACATGTATACAACTAATTCACCATATTGAAAGTATATGAATGATGAAAGTGAAAACAACATTTAAATTTTCATTTTAGGGTTATGAAATATGGAATTGTAAGTCTGAAATAAAATGGTGAATCTAATGTGGATTATTTGATATCCTACAGACCAAAGGGAGAAAATGTAATGAAATGAAGATATCAGACACACACACGCACAGACACACACACACACGCACACACGCACACACACATACACACACACCACACACACACATACACACACACAATAAACAACACGCACACACACACACATAACAAACACACATACACACATAAACAAACACGCACACACACACAATAAACACACACGCACACACACACAATAAACAAACACGCACACACACACACACAATAAAAAACACGCACACACACACACAATAAACAAACACGCACACACACACACCACACACACACACACACACACACACACACGCACACACGCGACACAGACACACATATATAAATGATGGAATGTTGCAATAATTGCCATAAATTAACAAAGACCATGTCTATCAAAATCTACCGTACTACATGACCCAGCAAAATATTTGTGCAAATCGTTTCTTTGTAAATCCATAGACGTTACATATCTACTCGTGCTAGAGAGAGATTTCACACACACAATCTCCACGGTCACTCCACACAATTGATTCAGAAAACCAAATTCGAAAATCCGAGATCCTGAGGCCAGAGATAGAATAATGCATTAACTCACAGATTTAGAAAAATAAAAACCAAATTCGAAAGTCCGAGATACTGAGACCAAAGATAGAATAATGCAATAAATCACTTATATAGAAAAATAACAGTCCTCCCTGACTCGGACTCGAATCTCTGCCACTCCAGTTGTGACGCAGAATGAACGCTACTTAACCAACTCTTGGGTTGTGTGGTACAGTTGGTTTGATGTTACCAATTTTCAGCATTTTCTACCCAATGTTATTTTAAGGGACAATACAGTTTACATAGTTCCGTGCTAAATAGTAAATAAAAATATGAAGAAACAACAAATTCAGTAAAATCGCAGGTGATGTATAGGTGATCTAGTTTAATTCTTGTTCATTAGTGGACTACAAGAGGTGACTGGCTGGAATATAATATGGATAAAAAACGCAGAGAAGTACGTTAAATTATTTCGGATATTCTTCGGCTCCGAAATAACGAAGAGGATTGAAAATACAGCGATAAGTTGTAGAAGTTGTGTACTTGAAAAGTCACAGTACTCGACTGTGAATTACATTTTTTACAGCTGATGTTTCCTTCATCATTATATTTCTTGATAAAAATAATACCATGATAATTGCTGTCATTACAAACCTTGTGCTTAGCATAATTATGGCAAAGATCATAATTGTTGTTATTTGCCTTATATCGTCATTCTTATATTCTCAGTCGTGATATATTGAGCAAAAACTATTCATTATGCTTCTTGCATACTATTTCGCAAATGAAATGGCCTTATTTTTCTATTCTACCCAAATTTATTAGCTCCTACAAACAATTTTATTTTATGCCATAGTTAGCCCACCAACCTTTAAGTTTTCTTTGGATCATTTTCTGTTATGGGACAGACAATTCTTCCATTATTACACTATATTTTACTAATATAAACTACCACTTATTCAGCAATTTAGTTGCCGGCTTTCAGTCTTTTACATTGCCCAATTTATGATAATGATTATCATTATTTACATCATCAGTAACAGTTTTTATTCTTAATCTCATTCTTATTATTATTATCATTTTCTCATCTTTCTTATTCTTATTATCATTCTTATCTTTCTAATTCTTATTATCATTCTCATCTTTCTTATTCTTATTATCATTCTTATCTCTCTAATTCTTCTTCTTATTATCTTTCTTATTCTTATCCATATTTCTGTTTTTATCATTGTCATTATTATTACTACCATCATTATCATTATTAGTAATAGTAGCAGTATCACTATTATCATTATTACTAAAGATTATTATTATCATTCTTATCATCATTTTTACCACAATTTTTGGCATTATAGCTGCTCTTATCATTCCACCATAACTTATTATCATTATGATTATTATCCCTATCATTATGATTGCTATTATCATTAACGTTATCATTTTTTCATTATCACCTTCATAATCATCATTATTATTATAATCTTTATTGTTTTCATTAATATGGTTACTATCATTATTCTATTACTATTATAATCATTGTAAATATCACAATCATCATTATCATTATCATTTTCATCATCATTATCATTGTTACCATTATTATCATTATTATTATTATTACTATTATCAGTATCATAATTATATCTGTCATTATCATTATTGTAAAATTATATCATCAGTATCACTATCATTATAATCATATTTTTCATTATCATTATCATCGTATATACGGTGGATATGTACTGACAGAAAATATTGCGGGAATGGAATTATATTAAACATACATAAACTAATACTCAAAATTGAGAACTATACGTAGGCTAATGAAGAAAATATAATTTAAAACGCAGAAAGACATAATTGTGTCATAACGTTAAAGTAAAGGTGCCAAAATTCGTCGTTCGGAGGCTATTCTTTGCTTCCAGTCAATGTAAACAAACCATGCAACTCAGAACATGCGCCGGAGAAAGTAGTGCGAGTAGGCCTATCTATCACTTAACAAACATTTACGCGCAATTTTATCTTACAGTGTCTCTAAATTATATAAATTACCATTATATCTAATTAATTTAACAACTTTCATCTGCTTACATTATGCGCTTAATAAGATTTGGTGTAATTTGTATGGCGCAGTGATACGAGATTCGCCAATTCGGCAAATGTGTTTATTCAAACTTGTGCTGAGAGTGTAATGAACCATTGAAATGTTTTATTAGTGGTGTGATTTATCATACAAAGTAATGCGGTGATAAAATCAAAACACTTTTTAAATGACAAAGCATCTTAGACTCGTTTTACAAACATTAGTGTCCCAGGTGCAAGCAACAGTGCAAATTTGACATTAAACGCAACAACAGTACATTCTTCATGCAAATTTAGCTTGAAATAACGCGTCTGCAACATATTCTTCGTGCAAAATTGACAGTAAGAAACGCGTCTGCACCATTTGTTTCGTGCGACAGTAGAGTTCTACCCTCCCCCTTCTTAAATCAGGTATTTATTTGTTTTGATTTTAATTGAATTTGACAAAATATTCGGGATATTCGGGGATTGTAGGGGCCGGATCCGTATAGTTAGGTAGGTTTTTGGTTCATTGGCAATCTCTTGCAGCAGTTTGAGTGGTGCCTGGGGAAAGCTTTGGCTCGTGTTTACCAAGAAAGTGTTTTTATTTATATATTTACTTATTAATTGTTATTATTATTATCATTATTTAAGTTTTTATTCTGAAAGTTTGTATGGGGGACATATATGTGTCCCCCCCCCATCCGATTCCCTACGAGTCCCGTGATATTGTAGGGAAGAGGCTGAAAAATATAGGAAGAAATAAAAATCCCATTTCCTGTAGAATTACCAACTTTGCTTTGTAGCTTTTGCTGACTCTTTCATCTTCGTATCCTAATGTAAGCTAACAAAATAACTAAAACATGGCTCGCATAAATGGGTCAGTCTCCCCTTCAGCTATTTCTAGTTAGAAAATGGATGTGAATAATACTGACGAAAGAAAATGTAAGTTGTTAGGGTAAATATAGAAAAGTAATGATAGTCTCTATCAACACAGTTCAAAACTAGCATGGTCTTCGTAAGGTTTGACGTACTCATGGATAAAGTCATAGGGGCTTATGAGGTACATATAACCCGTGCCCAAGAGGGAGTCGGAGAACCAAGTTTGGAATTTCAGGGCCAAGGAATTTCTGAGATCTACATCCATTATGGCACCATGGTCTATGGTATAAATGCGTAGTTAATTGCAGTATAGCTAATGGAGAATGGAAAGGGGCTAGGGTAATGGAGACATAGTTAAGACGGAACAGGATTTGATAATCACTTTGTGTATATTGTGTTTTTTGTGGTTTAATTAAGCAGTAAAATAAGGATATCACGTACAGATCAATATATGCTTGTGTTCTGCGTCTACTGTATAACCATTTTTACACTTCAGTATTCATAAAAAGCCTTTATTTTGCGTCCTAACTCTTATTACCAGGAAGGGATAACAAATACAACATTTCCACCTCAACAGTATTATTATTGTTTTAAGAAATACGAATACAGTAGTATGGACGGAATGTCTTGAAAAGTTGGATACATTTTAGACAACACGAGACGCAAAATCCGACTTGAAATTACCCCCGTCAGAGGGCTCTGCTGTCGACCGCCGTGAGACAAGAACGAGTGCGGCTAACTACGGAAAACTGTTGACGGTTCGACGCTGGAGAAACGAAATGGGCCGAAGAGCTTGTACACCTTTTCTCTCCTAAAAAAAAAAGAAAGTTGGAACTCTAGTAAAATGGAGAGTCGACGGTTTTGGCAGTGAATGCATGAGATTGGACGAAAAGAGTTACCTTCACTTTCACCGATAAAAGTAGATAAGGTCTGCGAATGTCGACATCATTAATGATATAATCCAAAGATAAATACCGTTCATTACACGGACATACTCATATATGTACATATGTACGTATTTATGTATGCATATATACGCACGTATCTTTATACATATACTTGTATACATACACATGCAGACATTCATACCAGCGTATATACATACATGCACATTCATACTATATGTATACATACGAAAGTACATACATACATACTGTACATACATATACATATACATATTCATACATTCATACATACACACACACACACACACACACACGAATATATACACACATATATATCTATAGATATATATGTATATATACATACACGTATGTATGTATATTTGAATACACATATACAGCGTAAGTATATGTATGATTTTCCTTCCTTCACGTAATAAGTCTGGGAAGACTATGCTATTATTTCTACTGCTAAAGGATGATTGATTTTATTTGTTAGTATAATTTCATACACTGTTAATCGCGATTCTCAAACTAAACACTTTCTCTAGCTGTAGTCCTCTTTCTCAATTAATTTCACCTATCACTTTATCGGGGGTTGGCGCGCTACAAGTCCTTCGAAATGCAGCGATTATCACGTGTTGGGCAGCCAGATGATGGTGTCCCTCCACAGCATCTTCTGCACGAGGGCGTTCAGGCAGTCGTCGGTCGCGTTGGGGTTCTCGCGGACGACCTTCTCGCAGGCGCGCTTGTACTTGCACAGCTCCGCCACGAGGGTCTTGGTGTACATGGGGTCCTTGCTGGCGTGGAGCGTGGCGGCGTTGTAGGGGAAGGTCCTGACCCAGTCGCCGCAGCGGGCCGGGCAGCGGTGTGGCCCGCGGTCGCCTCTCCGGGACCGCATGTCCATGATCTGGCCCGGGCGGCTTCCCTTGCTCATGGAGGAGTAACTCTTATTGCTCTGACTGTTCAGGAACTGGCGGCGCACTCGCTGGAACGTCGTGTTGAATGTGACGGGGACGAAGGTGTCGAGACTGAGTTCCTCCGGCACCAGAGGGTCATGAGGGGCGCCCGGGAGCGAGGATATCGAGCGACGCCGCCGCGGAGTGAAGCTTCGTGGCCCTCCGGAGATCGTCAGCGACTTGGAGTGGTTGTGGGGGGCCTTGGCGAACTCCTTCTTCCCGACGCTCAGGTTCTCGACGCTGCAGCTCCCCGAGTCCGTCATCCTGTAGGCGCCGTCCTCGCAGTCCTCGCACACGCTGCTGCGGGCGTTCCTCTTCCTCCGCGTCGACCGCACCATGTCGAGGCTCTCCATCAAGCGGTTGTACTGCTGCTGATCCATGGCGCTGTAGAGCTGATCGCTGGTGAGGATCAGTTCGTCCTTTCTGCTGTGGCACTCGCGGCTGTGGTCTCGGGTCAGCAGGATCAGCACGGGCGGGGGTTTGAGAGAGCGGCTGATGCTCTCCGTCACCTTGGGCGGGCCGAGGAGGTCGAACATGTGGTGCAGCATCGGCTTCTTGACGACCCTGTCCACGTCGCAGTCGTAGCTCAGCGAGGGGCACCGGTTGACCTCGAGCAGCGACGGCGTCAGCGAATCGTCCACCTGAGGGAGAGAGGGAAATCACGTGACAGCTACCTCGCAAGTGTCCAAGTTTCGACGCGATTCAAGTCCAGTATAATCACTCGGATGTGACTCCCGGTGCTCTTAGCTACACGTCCGCCTTACGAGAATGTCGAAGCCATAAAGTTCGAAGCAGTTGTGGTGGTGCGGGACGTGGCCGACCTGCGAGATGAGAGTGAGCGACACCAGGATGCCCACGCGCTGCCACAGCAACCAGTCCTTCTGCCCGCTGCCTGCCAGGTACCGGCGCAGCTCCCCCACCGTCCACTTGCACCCTGGAAAGAAGGGCTGATGATGAACGGCCATGAAAGCGAAGGCAAGAACCTGAAGATGTTGTGAAGAATATCTAAAGAGTGAGTTACATAGAATCCCTAATTCGTCTGACACATAAAAAAAGTTTAATATTATTTGTATTATCATTATTTTTCTCATTATTGCCATCATCATCACAGTCATCACTATTATTATCATCATCATTATCATCTCTGTCTTGTAACTAACCAGACCCAACGCGTTCCTTTTCCGTCCTGTAGCCCGGAGCCAGTTTGTTCAGGGAAGTATTGGTGAGGTGGCTGAACAAATTATCCAGGGCGGCTAGCGAGTATTTCTCAGTGCCAAATCTGTCCAGAATTAAGAGGTTAATTAAGGCGGTAGTACTTACCTGTCCACGTTCAATGAATAAGGCGTCAAACATGTTTAAAGGATCTCCGAAGTCTATATTTCATGGATATTGCATATAGGTATCATATTTATTTTTTTCTCATTTGCATGTACAGCTACGCAGGAAAATATCGTTAGAAAATCATGCTAAACATTCTGAGACAAGGAACGATACTTTATGATACATAGTTAATGCTACGAAACTGTTGGTATCCCTGATTTTCCAACTACTTATTGGTATGTGTGGCTTATCTGAATATTGCAAAGCATATTCCATCCGGATATAAAATAATCTCTGAGTGAATCCATATGAATTCCGGAACCACTATTCGAGACATGAAATAGAACGAGACAATTTCGAAACCCAAAATACCAACCCTTCCGTAACATAAGGTTCTGTAACATATGGTACTGGTCGATATTAAATGTTTCGACACCCCTCCTTACGATGATTTTCTGTGTAGCTGTACATTTTATTATTTTCACAATCGCTAGAAATGATAATTCAACCTATTATTCAGCCTCTCACAACACCTATTTCGTCAT